AGGATTACATTGCATTGTAAACATGACACGAAACCCCCACCAACAGGATTATTTTGGCCCTTTTGATATAATGTGCTGGCTTCCTGTAATTCCTCATTAATGAAGCTCTTTAAAACACAGCTGTTTTTAAGTTGCAGCGTTGACCCGTTGCAACATTTTGTGAGTAACACAAGCAGAGCTTTTTTTTCTCGCTCTCTCTAGCCAAAGCCGTCCAGATTGCTGTTTGTTAATCCCTTTTAAATACGTATCTATATGATCATCAAAGCCATTCATTTTAGGCTCTTAATAGCTGAGACTAGCAATGTTTATCTCAGGCATGTTACAGTACGATAGGAGAGGATGCAATATTATGCAATATATATTGCGATATACAGTATGATGTGGTTTATTACAAATCTATACAATTCACTATACAATGCAATGTGATTTAGTCCAATACAATATGATCTTTGTAAACTACAATACAATTCAACATAATCTGTTACAATGTGATGTGATGTGATGTTTTACATGTTATAATTAAAAAGTGTAAGATATCATTTATAATGCAATAAGATATGATGCAGCATGCAATCAGAAGCAATATGATACAGTACAACAGATGAGATGCAATTAAAAATGGTACAATATAAAATAATGTGATGGACGGCTTTCCACCAGATATGTAAGTGTCGTGTAACGTCAGAGAAGCGTAGAACGTAGCTAATAGCCGCCATTGTGGTGGATGGGTGCGTTTCTCTACCGGCCGTGATCCCAGAAGTGTAGTGTCATGTCGCTCTTCTACACTTTTGCTTCAAGTCTATTTTTACATGCTATGGGTCTAGAACAACAGTCATGATCAGGCCAGACAGGAAGTCAAACCAGTGGAAAACATCCACAAACTTTCAAAATTAAAGATTTCTAGTTGCTTATCTGGAAAAAACAATACACCATTGCCTGATACGCCTCTACAGCCGAGCTAAATAGAAATTAAACCGCATGCTACATGCTGCATTTTTTTCTACCGGCTTGTCGTGAACTACTGAACTCACGTGTGGTCGTGTAATTTTCTGGTGATTTTGTGATCTTGCGGGACCAGCCACGTGGAACGCTTTTGCTGCCGTTTCGTGTTTGAAATGCTCCCACTGGAGCAGGACGCGCTGCTGAACTTGTATATTATGTTAGGTGCCTCTTATGCGTCCCGCGGATAGCTTGGGTTAATGTCATGATAGTTGTGATCACAAAAATGTAAAACAAACAACAACAAAGTTCATGAAAACAGTCTCTTTAAATAAATACACAATGGATCAGGGAAATAATGCTTAAACGTTTTTATACAGTACTGCATGACTCCTGCAGTGCCAAGAGGTGTTTAGCACAAATCCCTCACTACAAAATTGTTGATTGAGTTTTATTATTGTTGTGGATGAAGTAATTATGTTTGTAATAATAATAAAAAAATAACCCAAACCGTTCAGAAATTTGTAATTAGAGCATTCAACTCTGAGTTCCAGGCATCCATGACAAGTAGCCATGTTGAATGATGTGTAGACAAGATACAGTTGTTAGTAGACATGGTGGAGGAATGTGCTTGGATTACAGCAGATGCCTCCTTGATTTATTGGCTGTAGATCTGAGCCCTTTATCTTCTATCAGCTGCCGAACAGTGATTCATTTTCACTTTATTTCTGTCTGGATACCGCCCATACACCCCCCCCCCCCCCCCCCACACACACACACACACACATAGAGTCAGAGATCTTATCTTTCAAACTTTGGAAATGAGAAACCTTTAAACGGCCCCACAGTTCCCTGGGATTCTTCTGGATGTTTGCCAGGCAACTTTGACCCAGAAGTTTAAAAAAGTACTATGGTATTGATTTATATTCTATGCTGACACCCAGTCACTGCCATAAAACCATGAAAAAAAATCAAGAATCTGTAAAAAAAAGTTTTTGTTTTTTTAACGTCTGCTGCTTTAGGATAAAGAAAAAATGTTGCAGCAATGAAGGGGTATTGGTGCAGGATAGAAGCAGACGTTTCTCCTGACCAGCTAAATGCTGGTGTTGAAAGGACACTAAGCACAGGTTGTCTTTCCTCCGTGGTGACAGGCTGAGCGGCTGAGCTTTTTGCCGTGTTGAGTAAAAGGATGCAGGTGGGGGTGGGGGGTGGAAAGAGGAGGCTGGGGCGAAGCCATCCAGCCGAATCTGCCTTCAGCTCTGTGTCACAACCACTGATCAACTGTGTGCACCATCACGTCACCTGATCAAATGTGTGTGTGTGTGTGTGTGTGTGTGTGTGTGTGTGTGTGTGTGTGTGTGTGTGTGTGTGTGTGTGTGTGTGTGTGTGTGTGGTTCTCCAGCACACAACAGAAGGAGCACACAGAGTCATCTCCTCTGGTCAATAGAGCCTAATTCTCCACAGGTAGCAGTGAGCCTCAAAGGCGATTTCCCTTCAGCTCAAACGTGCTGAAGCCTTTCATCCACTCCATGGGGCCTATGTTGATAGTAGCACTTGTGTGTGTGTGTGCGTGTGTGTGTGTGTGTACTGAGGAAGGTTGGGGGTTGCTTTCAGTCAGTCCCATTATCCAACGGAGGCCACAGATACAGAAGTGTTGTCGCCTGGGGTCTTATAGATGCTTCTTCGCCAGTCCACCAGCAGACAGAGACGGTCCATCTTTGTCCGCGTTGTTGCAGAATTTTTCTGTCATCATCCTCTTTCCTTACATCTTACTGTCCACCAGCACCACCCCTTTCTGTCCTCTCATCCTACATCTCCCTCTGAATCCCAGCCGTCTTTCTCTTTCTGCTCTGCCTCTCATCTGCGTTTCCACCGCTGTGTGGAACTACTGAGAATGACTGTGATCAACTCAGGCAGTGCAACGGCACCTCTTCACTTCTCTGCAGGCTCTACGGGCAGCCTAATGGAGGAAATCAAAGTACTCAAACACTATTAGATTCAGTGTGCACCTTGCATTCCACTCAGACCTCCTCTGACTGATGTAGTTTATCGTTTTTTTTAATTCACCCAACAAATGTCTTCGAGGGCCAATATGGTTTTGTTTAGCAACCGCCGGTGTGAAGTGAGGGTTTTATCACAAAGGTCTATCAACATTTTATCTCTAAAACCACCTCATATTTGACTTCCATAAAATGTAATTACAAGGCTACTCACCCTGCTTTCTCATAAAAAATGTCCTGGGTTTTCCTTCGCGGCTCATGTTAAATGCAAGGTGTGCACTGCTTTCTCTTTTCCTTAAGACTAAGATGTATTGTTTCTGCCTGGGGCATTGCGTGAGTTGCAGCAGACCTACTGTATCAGAGAATGAGTTGTTGGGAGAAATAACTGTAAAACGAATGTTCGGGAAATATATAGGTTGGTGTTGCTCCAGTGAAACCTAATTAGCCATGCCACAAACCCTCTCAGGCAGGAATGACTCCCAGACACGAAGTTGTGTCTCTAATTATTGTCTTGTTCACTTCAAAATCAACAACTTCAAGAATGGGTTCACTGAGAAACTGTGTTTTACTTGTTTTTGAAATAGGATGTGTCATTCTGAGTTTGACATGCACGTTGAACATGAAAATTGTCTTCTACTGCATTAGCTACCAATATAAAATAAATGGATTAGAAAGAGCTAGTAAGATCTACGTCACACTGAAAGTTACCCCTACTTCACACTAGAAGTATCGGTATATCCATTATAGTCTGTGGAGGTGATTCAAACAAGCTGAGACGTGAAAATGTTTTGCCGTGTCCCAAAATATAGGACCGGGTTCTATTTTTGCCACAAATCGCTTCAGGAATGTGTCAATTTCCGCAGTTAACAGAGCTAGACAAGAAATCACATACGGTTTCAGTGTAAAACATCTGGTAATTTTCAAAATAAAAGTATTGCAGCAATGTGATTTCATATCTATATAGCTTACGTCTATACATCTATTCCCTGCTTCATTTGAGAAGTGGAGTGGTGTGTTTTTCTCTAATAGTGGCAGAGGAACATCATCATATATCAAACAGAGATATCATAAACAAACCGTGACCTTTGAAGACTTGAGGGATTTTTTTGATCTCGTGAGTACAGCAAGGAGGAAGGTAGCGGAGCTTGCAACTGACCCATTCCGGTGTCGTTTCGCAACACTGATGCTTCCAGTGGGATGTATCGTTCATGGACTAACCCATCTTGGCTCGAGACAGGAAAAGCTGTTTTTTGTTTAGCCTCCAGGAGAGATTAGAGCATGTCTCTGCTGGTAGAAGCTAATTAGCATTAGCAAGTCCACAACATGGCAGAATTCCTTCAGGCTTGTTTAATTTGTGGAGGTAAAACTTCAACATTGCAAAGCAAATGCAGTCCATGGTAGTCGTGTTGCTGTTAGCCAATCAGAGGCAAAATGCCCAAGTTTCAGGAAATACTAATGAGTAGTTCCTGCCAGATCCTGCCATTTTCTGCTCCTCCAAATAATTTCTACTCCCTGAAAAAGGAGCACCACAGCTCCCTTTTCACAGAGATTGACTCACAAGTGTAACGCCACGAAATGGCCTGATTTTGAGATCCCAGGTCATGTGCACAGCCAGGTCAACTTACCCTGGCTATCAAACATCCTATGTACATTTTCCAATCCATTTATTCTAGAGACCACTGTTGAAAAATGATTGAATGTGATCTTTAAAGAAGCCATCAAAGCATGAAAAAAACAGTATCTGTAGTTTTTCTAGTAGGTGGAAATGATTGTTGCATAAAATCCCATTTTCCAAGCTGTGAAAGACGTCAGACATTAGACAGTCAAACTTTTAGTTTTTCTAGGACTAAATGCATCCCACATTAATTAGCTGATCCAAGTAAAACTGCAGGTCAAACAAACTAATATTTTCATACACAAGGCTGCTTTATGTTTTAAGAATGTACAGCTATCTCAGTGGAAAGCACCCTCCATAAATCATGGCAGTGATGGTGTTTTCGCCGCAGAGTTGTCAGTGCTCCACAAAATCATTATGTCTCTTTACCCCGTCTGTCTACACAGCACCAACGCTGTTGGAAGCCACCACGTCTGCACAGCCTCCCAGGACTACAGCCGTCACTACGACGACCACAGCGCACTGGGGTGCTGCCAATACAACCACCACAACAGTGCTCAAGGAGGGCAGCAGGAGAGCACCCAAGCCACCTCCTGTAATTCCACAGACAACGTCTCCTCCCCCGCTGGAGTCCTTCCCTCTGCAGGAGCGCTTCTGCAAAGCCACTGAGAAAAGAGACATAATGTGGCCTCAGACCCAGAGGGGCATGCTTGTGGAGCGGCCTTGTCCCAAGGGAACACGAGGTAAACAGGGCTTTCTCCCACCTCAGGGTTCTTTTTCTGCTGTGTGTCTGAGGCATCTCAGGGGTAAATCCCAGACTTAGTTGGAGCTGCTTAATACTCATGCATACAAGGATGTTTTTAAGTTATAAAGAGCACTAGTGTCGTGGAAAAGGTGACGGCGGTGTTTAACGGTGTTGGGCTTTAGCTGTGTCATTCGGCATCTAAATTTGATTAAGACAGCTGAAACGGTTTTGCTGGAGAAAAGCGAGCTCGCGGGTTTCCCTCCTCAGCTTGTGTCGGGATGTGCATTCCTCTTTTGATTGTGTGTGAAATTTTGCTTAGACTTCATCAGGCACAGCACTGATTAGGTAAGGTGTGTGTGTGTGTGTGTGTGTGTGTGTGGGGGGGGGGGGGGGGTGGTGGTGGGGGGGAAACACTGTGTAGCAAAAACAGGTGCAAGGTGTTGCAAATGTTTCTCACAAAAACACCTAGTGATTTGGAGTGCACAGAAAGCCCCGATTTTAGTTCAAATTGGCCACAAATGTTTCAACAACCAAACAAAATGGGACAGAAACAGTTTGCTCTTGCTGAGACGTCTATACGCACACTTTGTTCTTATATTAGTGTTTTTTGTATATGTCCTATTTTAGTTTGTTTTATGCACTTTTCTGGCTGTAAATTATTTTATTTGGGGGTCTATTAGACTTGACTGAGCCTGACTTTTCTTGTTTTTTCCTGCCAGGCACAGCCTCTTATTTATGCGTTCTTTCCACCGGGGATTGGCACCCGAAGGGGCCCGATCTTAGCAACTGTACTTCTCACTGGGTCAACCAAGTGGCCCAGAAGGTTTGTATGAGCTCTGCCTCGCCATTCTCTTTCTAAGTGTATTTTGTTAGTCAGAAAAATAAAAATAAAATGTGTGGGGTGAATTCAAAATCAGCTGTTATTTTTGGTCAGGCGTTCAGTGTGGAGTACTTTGATGGAAATGATGGCAACAAATACAGATCAGCATTAAAAGCAGCATTTGTGAGCTCAAACTCAGGACTCGTTTGTCCTTTAGGCTAAAAATTGTGCTGCAAAACGTAAAATAAAGGGAACAGGCCACAAGAATCAGACCTACTTTCACCAATAACTAATCTTAGTGAGTTGTTCCCCTTTCTCATCCAGTCCAAAGAAAGTTCTGGTTTCATTGTTTTGTCTGTAAATTAATTCATTTTGATTGTTTTACATTTCATAATATTTGTATGTATTAACTTCAGATAAAATTGTAAGTATGGGTTAATAGTTGAACTATATGTTTTATATTCACTTTGCTTCCATATGTTGTGTTCTTTTACATTGGTGAAACCAATAAAGCTTGATAAATATGACGTCTGTTGGCTGCAGTGGTTTAAATGCAATCCTGCGGAAAAAAAATAGCATTCTTAAAAAAATGTTATTATTCCAATTCCACCAGGTAAAAAATGTAGGAGAAATAATATTTTGGGCTGTATGTAATTTTCATAATGAACCAAAATCTCTGCATTAACCTCTACTTTTATGAATAGTGTTGCACTCGTTTTTACATCAGAAGCAAAGCCGGGAAAGAACGATCCAAGTCTGTCGTCTTCTATTCTTGTCCACATTACTCACTCTCTCCTCCTGCAGATCCTCAGTGGTGAAAACGCCGCAAACTTGGCCAACGAGTTAGCCAAGCACACCAAAGGCCCAATCTTTGCCGGGGACATCAGCTCCACAGTGCGTCTGATGGAGCAGTTGGTGGATATCCTCGACGCTCAGCTGCAGGAGCTTAGACCGAGTGAGAAGGATTCTGCTGGGCGAAGCTTCAACAAGGTAACCAGAACCACCCAAAAAAAAAAGGCAGCGCCAAACTAAACTAAATGAAATCTTGCTTTGTTTTCCCCCTCGGTTCTCATTTGCTTCAATACTCTGCAGTCAGAGTGTACATGGCTTTGAAGCTTCACACACACGATAATGTCTTTATGAGATGACTCATTAATCAGGTTAGTCAAGATTAGCGGCGCTTCAGAAAAGAACTGAAAAGCTGTTGCGATACTTTAGACTTTTGACATGCAGCATATAACAGTTTCATACCATGCTTTTGCATTAATGCCCACATTGTAACGGTGCTAATCCTCTGCAGTGTGTCAGGTGGGTGGGAAAATAAAAATAAAACATATAATGTGTTTTATCCTCAGCACTTTTATTCTTAGACCTTTTCATAAACAGGTCAGTGGCACAAGGCAATAGGGAATGGCTGCTATGATCATTTATTAGTTCGTTGGTGCGTTCATAACTCAGGACATGCACTTTCTCGACATCTTTTACCAAAAAAAAGAAACACATGATCTTGTGCAAATTACCTTACCGCTTCGTTTTATCTGCTCTTCTTTTTTCTAATAAACACAAAGCTTCAAAAACGAGAAAGGACATGCAGGGCGTACACAAAGGTACTGAAGCAACGCTTCTGCCCGCTCCGCTCGCTCCTGCCACCCCTACACTGCTCTGTGTGCCCCAGCCCAAATCCAGCCGCATGCGCCTTTATGCACTGTCACCCCCACCCCCTCCTCCCTCCCCCATGTGCTTCCTGTGTTTCTGTGTAACTGCTTGACACACAGCCACAAAGTGCTCTCTAAGACAAAGAGAAGTCATCTCCGTTTCCTGAGGTGGCTTCTTTTCTCTGGATGTGTCTCTGTGTTGCTCTCTCTGCATTGACAGCTATGATGTGTTTTGTCAATCATTCTGCATTCCCTCTTGTATGTTTATTGTGTTTACTTCAGAGGATGCATAAAGCCACAATTCAAGCAAACATCCTGTACTTTCATCCCTTTCATTATTCATCCGATGAAGGATTTAATGCTTTGTTTCCACAGTTTCTTTTGAATTTCTATGAGAGCATAATAACATTTCCATGTTCTGATGTGATTTATTTATTTATTTATTTATTTGTAAGTCAAGATCCATCATCTTGACCTTTTGCTGTCCTGCATGTGAGACAGATGTTTGTTTTTATCAGGTTGCAGGTTTAAGGTTGTGTGTTTCTGCGGGTGTAAGTCTTTAGCTCCTTCTGGTTAAGAGGAACGTACAGGTCAAACGTCCTACATGTCAATGTTTGTCAGCTTCATGTATTCCTCTAAGCATTGGGGACCACACTGTCCTCTGCCAGTCCCTGATGTCGCCTCCCCCCTCAATCCAAATCTCTCTTTTGGGAGAACATTAAAATAGATCAGGCTAATTAGGCAGCCAGCAAACATGCACTCAAAAAGGATGCAGGGAGGCTCATAAATGGTGTTGGGGGAGGCTAAGGACCCTCACACACAAATATTTTCTTTATTTTAGTTCATAACATCAGAGAATGTAATTCACTGTAATGCTGTTGGAGAAATTGTGGCCATGCAAATGTTTAGATGTATCTGGCTAATAACAGCATTAAAGGATCTGGGATGGGGATTGTCGAGGCAGCAGTATCTGACATCTGCCATCCTTGACACAACATCACGTTAACCCCCTTACCTCTTTCACCAAACGTCACCGGCATTGATTTCCTGATTGGATGCACTGATTTCATTATTTCCTGAAGTTAGCCTGTGTTGTCTGGACCCCAGTCCCAATTTAGTCCCTGTCATTTCTTACCTCCTTGACTTTTTGACACCAGGAAATGTTTCCAGTAATGGTAAGGTGTGGAAAAACCATGTTTAAATTTGTATTTCTGATTATAATCAGTCACTCCAAGTTTTTCATGCAAACATGAACTAGAAAACAGTCTCCTACACCTATCTCCTGCATTAGCTTCTGAGAGAAAATAGATGGTGAAAGTTCAGGATTTGAAAAGCCTGACAGAATGGCATCATGCTGTCACTTAACATTCATGGACTCACCCATCTTCACTCATGGTGGGAAGGCTGTTGTTGGTTTGGCTGTCCAGGAAACAGCAGAGCATGTCTTGGCCGAGTAGAAGCTAACTATTAGCATTAGTAACTCCACCACAGCAGAACTTCTCCAGGCTTGTGTTATTTGTGGAGATAAAACATCAACGTTGCAAAGTAAACAGATTTATTATGGGTAGAGTTGCATTGCTGTTAGCCAATCGGAGGTGAGATGTGCAAATATCAGGACGTAAGAGTCCAAATCCTGCCGTCTGAAGCTCTCCTCTTATCTGGCAATCTTCTAGATCCTGAAGCAGGCGAGCCAGGGCTTTTTGTACCCTGAGTACGACTTACAAGGCATTCATTCCTATAAGAGACCACTGCAAATTTATTGATTAAACAAATGATCCACACCTTTAATGTTAGGCATTGACTCAAATCTCCATCACTTATTTTTTTCTTATTTTGGGCTTCTTTTGCCAGTTGACATAATGATTGACTGTACTGTTGTATACTGAGCTTTGCAATTAGAGAATTTTAATTGAGAACAGCCATTGGTGCTTTCATCAGGCCATCTCTTAATATCCTGTTATCAGACAGGCCTGATGGGCTCAATACACTGCAAGCCAAAGTGTCTGCCTTGTTACAACGTCCTTGAAGAGGAAACTAAATCCTCTCCACCAGTGATGAGCCAGTGCATCCCTCAGTTTGTCCTTCATGATCCACACAGTTTTGAAAAATGCCTTTTGTATTTGGTAATTGTAATTATATTTTAATTCTTCTCTTTGTCATTCTTTAGTACATCCATCCATTTCATTGTCTGCATGCGAATATGTGCTGGAAGCTGAAAACCAAATCCTGCTTTTATTCATGCCTTTTCTTCTTTTTTTCTGTTTGTTGTTTTCCTGTTTTACCTGCTTCAATGCAGGCCATCGTGGACACCGTCGACAACCTTCTGCGACCGGAGGCCCTGAAGTCGTGGCAGGACATGAACAGCACAGAGCAAACTCACGCAGCCACCATGTTACTGGATACCCTGGAGGAAGGGGCCTTCGTCCTCGCCGACAACCTCATGGAACCCGCCATCGTCAAAGTTCCTGCAGACCATATAAGTAAGTTTGAGACCCAATGACAAGCCTTCATGATCAGCGCAATCTCAGTTAATTTTATTCCTCAGTTGATTATGAGAGTCGCTCCTTTGATGGGAAAGCAATGCAGCCTCAAAAAAAGGGACTTTGTTTTCATAATAAGTGTTTAAACCCTTGGGGAGAAGGGAAAAAAGCACATATTAAGTTCAACGAGTTGCTTACTGACAAAGTGATGAATATCAGACAATTAAATAGACTGGATTGTCTGATTGCGCATGCTTATTTTATAAATGTGTGTGTCTAGACCTTGTAACTTTATACATTAATGTGAACATTAGCCTGCTGCAGAGTCAGAAAAATGACATTGTTTAGCCACAGCCTCCTCTTCCTTTTCTCATTTTCTTCTTCCAGGGAAGGTTCCTTTCCCTCACAACTCTTTTTTTCATATTACCTAGAGCTTCGCAAGGACAAAACCATCACGTTTTGATTGACATTTTTATTGCATAGCTCCCTCTCACCAAGCGTTCGCATGATGCATTCATGCATCTTGTGGTCTGCATACTGTAAGAGCTTGTGTAGAAATGTCAGGAAGTAAAGTTTGGTATCAACATTCTGTGCTTTGTTTTTTTTATTTTATTTCCTTAGTGGTGCCCTTTACTGTTGAGTCAAAAGGGTCTCTAATGTCTGCTCTTTTTGTGTGTGTGTTTTTTTTTTTTGTTTTTTTTTTGCTTCTCTATGTTCGGCAGTCCTGGATGTGTATGTGCTCAGCACAGATGGCCAAGTCCAGGACTTTAAATTCCCACAATCCAGCAAAAGTGGAATCTCAATCCAGCTGTCGGCCAACACTGTTAAGCTGAACAGTCGGAACGGTATGCTATGAAAAAAATGTTAAAAAGCACAAGGTTAGTGTTGACTCTGGTAATTAAAGGGACAACGTAATTATTTAGTAGGAAGTAAACAATTACATCTGTTCAGTTTATGTGCTTCAAACAAGGCAGCTTTGTGTATTAGTTTTGTTAAATGAGTGTTGCATGTGGGTGGGATTTCAACTAAATGTCTTACTTACTCTTGATATGTTTAAACTTAAAGAGCAAGTTCACTGGGGATGTATTTCTGAAATATGATCACTCGCAGACTGAATGTGAAAGTTGTTTTCCACACGTTTCCTGCACTGGCCGTTGATAAGAAATATGCGCGTAAAAACTGGGGTTAGAAAAAGCCAGTCAGATCTCCGTCACACCGCATTCATTGACTCATGTTGGTAACATTACTTTTAAAAAGTAATTAGAAAAAGTTACTGGTTACTTTGTCAAGAAAGTAACTCAGTGAACATTATAAAAGTTACTAATTACCAAGAAAAATAACTACTTTGTTACTTTTTTTTAATTAAAGAATGCAAGAAAAATGGGTTCCTATCTTAATAAACATACTTAATTTACTATAAATTACTACAACACTGAAATATAAATGACTAATGACTGGAAATTAATAAAATGTGTGTCCAATGTTTTCATAAAACTGAATAATTGAAACAAATAAGCAATTAACAGGAGGAACTACAAACAGGAACATTACACTAATCTAGACTATTAAAATGTCACTGTGATATTTAACAAGACCCCAATAAGCTAACATTTATACTTGCTAACAGAAACACCTGTAAAGGTTCCTGAGCCTTTAAATGGTCTCTCAGTCTAGTTGAATAACTGAAATAAATGTAATTTTGCACAGTGTTCTAATTTTTCCAGCTTCACATAATTGTGTGTTTTTAGTAGCGTTTCTGTTGCTGGTAATCTAGTAATGGCTAAATAAATAAATAAAACTCCTTTAAAATGACACCAGAAGAGGCACAATTCTGATGGAGAACTTAAATGTACTAACTTGGGTCAGACCCAAACACAGAAGAGCTGAAGCTGGGTGGTAAAGACACACAGGTAATTCTAATAACACCTGAGCGCCCATGACGTTTGAGACTGATGCATCAGAGTTACACCGGGGCTAAAAGAAATGATCAGAAACAGGTTACAGTTGGATGATGCACTTGGATGAAAACATCCACGTCTTTAGCTCCCAATCAGCTGATGACAGCATCAACACACGCGCTGCTGAATTAGTAACGCACATATTTTCTCATCAGTAATGGAAATGGCGTTATGATAAAAGAAGATGGTATTTAATTTGATTAATCGTCACTGACAAAACTATTTTTTAACGGCATTGGTTAGCGCCTAGGAGAAAGCAGAGCACATCTAGCTTTAAAAAGCTAATTTTTGGCCATTAGTAACTTGACCACACAGCAGAACTCCTCCAGGCTTGTGTTATTTGTGGAGGTAATTTGTCAATGTTGCAAAGCAAACATAGTCAGTAGACCAGCTCAGTGGCCTAGTGGTAGAGTGTTCACCCTGAGACTGGGAGATTGTGGGTTCAAATCCTGGTCGGGTCATATCAAAGACTTGAAAAACAGGACCCAATGCCTCCCTGCTTACACTCAGCATTAAGGGGTTCGATTGGGGGGTTAAACCACCAAATGGTTCCCGAGCTGGGTCAAGTGCTGAGAACACATTTCACACACTGGTTGCTGTTAGCCATACAGAGGTGAGATGTCCACCTACAACAAAATAATAATGAGTAAGTCTCAAAATCCTGCTTTTTTCTTCTCCCCCTCTCACTTCTACTTCCTGAAAAGCACCAGAGCTTTTTTCCTCACTGAGATCAACTCACAGGTCATTAATTTATGCTAGAGAAAAAATGAGTAAACTTAGTCTTTAAACGTTAAAATTTACTTACTCTAAATAAAATGATTTGTTTAAATTTGATCTGCTTTTTTAAATGTCTTCATTTTCATTATTTGAGTTGTTCTTTAATTTATTTGTTGATGTTTTTACAGGAGTTGCGAAGCTGATTTTTGTGCTGTACAAAAACCTTAGCCAGTTCCTCGGCACAGAGAACGCCACCATCAAGATGGCAAACGAAGCTTACGGTCGCAACGTCTCGGTGGCCGTCAATTCGGACATCATCGCTGCTTCACTCAACAAGGAGTCCAGCCGTGTATTCATCAACGACCCGGTGATTTTCACCCTGCAGCACATCGATGTGAGTCCCCCTGCAGAAATAAATGGATGGGTCATTTATACTAAAACATCAGGAGAGAACAGCCAGAGGAGACAGAGATCTGCTATTTGAATTGTAAATGTCTCACTAGGTCACTCGGTAGTTTATTTAAGTCATTGAACATCAAATTAAAGGAGTCTTTAGAACTTAAGTGAATTCTTAATGAAAACTAATTCTTTAATCAACATTGGGAAATAAATTATACCCATTTTCTTTTATAGAGGGGGACATTAACTCCTAGATTAGCCCTACAATCTAGGATGAAATTACTGGAGCACCAATTATCTTTTGTCTTTTAAAGTTGTCACTAGAGTTCCCAGAGGGCCATGCATGACTCCATTCTTTATCAGAGAAATTGTGCAATTCTAAAGACACAGCGTCAAACAATTATGCTTCTCTGTTATTAAGTCCCCATATACTCCACCATGCTTCGGTAGATTTGGCAAGCACGTGCCAAATGAGATACAACATATGAATTGCTTCATAAGAGCTGTGAAGGGAAAAATCCTCATCCATATCCGTGCTGAAAAATACTTTGTATGAGTAGGGGGTAAATGGCCTCTGTGTTCTACATGTGCTTCAATTTGGGGAAGTCAATTATTTGGACACTTAACCATATCTCTTGTTATCTGCAGATGGAGCACTACTTCAACTCCAATTGCTCCTTCTGGAATTACTCTGAGAGGAGCATGATGGGCTACTGGTCCACCCAAGGCTGCAAACTCCTGGACTCCAATAAAACACACACCACCTGCTCGTGTAGCCATCTTACCAACTTTGCCATCCTCATGGCACACCATGAAATCTCAGTACGTCATCTTCAAACACACCTGTTGTATTCAAGACAACCGTCTGCAAGGCTTAGACATGGTACTGGAAAGCAGCGACAACAGGGAAGATCATATAAAACTATTTTAATTGTGATCAAATCGAAAATTCAAGCTTGGAGGAGCATTTTTTATTTGTTTATCCACTGTTTCCCTGAAAAGGGCACAATAACACAGTTCGATGAGACAAACACAATTCGGAATTAGAGAAAGACCTTGTTGATAATAATTACATCTGATTTCTAGGCCCACTCAGCATGGACGTAATTTTCACTTTAGAAGTGGGGGGGACACGGAGTGTGTGTGTGTGTGTGTGGGGGGGGGGGGGTGAATCTTTACAGTATGCTCTAATGGGAAACAGGCTTCAACACAAACGGTTGTTTTCTGCTTGGTCCTAGAGCTCAACTAGTGTCAATTTAATATAGCGTAATATTGTTTTTGGATGGTAAAAAGTGCAGGGGTCAAACCTTCACTTTGGAAAGAGTGGGGGGGACATGTCCCCCCGTCCTCCCCCAAAATTACGTCCATGCCACTCAGTAATATTTTGGAAACTCTTTGGATGTTTGATCATTTTCCGTAGACGGGACAGTTCATGCATATTAGCCATTGGTAAAATATGTTTTTTTTTTCTGATTGTGTTTTTTATAGCATCCTAGAGCTAAGTAGATGTGAATCACTAATGTTGTTAAATGCAGAAACTGCACGTTCCTTAGGTGCGTGCACCAACCGCTCAAACTCCATCCCCCTATTTCCACCGGCCGTGAAAGTAGTCGCGTAACGTTAAAGCTGCTTTTTACCCGCAAGCTCATTCCCAATCGGGGGCATTTCAGACGCGAAATGGGAACAAAAACATTCCCCACCGCTGACCCCGTCAGGACACAAAATCACGGGAGAATTGCAACACCACACATGATTTCAGAAGCCCACACACAGAAGTATAGGCAGGAGAAAGACAGCTCGGTGTATCAAAAAGGACTGTGGTTTATTTTAGGTTCTGTTTATATCATCTATGGGGTTTTAACAGGAAATGATGAATCTTTACCTGCATGTGACTTTTATTTTGAAAGTTTCCAGATATGTTGCACTGCTTTTGTGTTGGACCTCTTGCCTGGCGTGATCTAAACTGCTGAATTTGATGGGTTTTGGAAGTGTGTTGTGTAAAAACAGACTCAAAACATCCCCTAGCTTCTAGGGCACATCCAAAATTTTACATTTAGCTGCTGGTGGAAAGAAACTGATCCGCTAAAACGGCGGCTAATTGTAGCCGTAGTACGTCTCACGGACATTTTGCGATGCTGCCACGTGCAGTGGTGAGAAGGGGTTTGAATCAAAGTGCACTTGACTCTTTGGGGAAATCCGTGAATGTTAGCATTCATGTTCAACTTTTTGTAGTTTCTACTTTTAGACCACAGCTCTTGGCTTTGTTGGTAACATCCTGTAACTTTTTTTCAAAATGTAATAGGGATCATTGTACCTCTTCCTGTTAAAAGGGAGTTTTCTTCTCCACTGTCGCTACATGCATGCTTAGTGTGAGGATTGCTGTGAAGTTACTGACGCAAGTCAGTGACTCGATGCAATCTGCTGGATTCTTTTACACAGGAAACTGATCTCAATGGCAAAAGGAAATGAAGTCAATCCATCGATAAGTAGATTCAGTTGGAATTTTTACTTTTAAAATGCCTCTTATGTGATTTGCTATAAATACTATATAAATAAACTGAATTACTGTTTATTTGTATTATTTTTTTCTACATCAACATCAGAATGTTGTGGCATTCTGGTTTGTATTTGCAATAGGCTACAATGTAGACATGTACAGCTGTGAGCCTTTGAAACATGCATTTAGAAAATGTATATGTCTTTCATAAGTGCCAACCACTAACAGTTAATAGTGACAAAATTACCAGGAAACGACAATTGTGGTTAAAAATTAGGTTAGGTTAGTTACTAATATTACTAATATTTATTGCCTATCAAAACCATTATTACTTTAAAGGCAGCTAATATTTAATTACATCCACCTTCTTAGTGTCTGTCTTGTCAGCCCATGTGCGGGAAATGCAAGATTCATGCATTAAATCCTTAAAGCGGGAAAAACCCTTTTCATAATTTAACGTACAATACTTTCATCTTTCTGCGGATTTCTGGAGAAAAAAAAAAACGACTTTCTATCTCCTAACCAACATTTTCTGTATTTTTCTGTATTTTCCAGGGCAGCGGTAGAGATCATCACGAGTTGCTTCTCACTGTCATCACTCGTGTCGGCATCGTCGTGTCCCTCGTCTGCCTCACGATTTGCATCTTCACTTTCTGCTTCTTCCGGGGCCTGCAGAGCGATCGGAACACCATCCACAAGAACCTGTGCATCAATCTCTTCATTGCAGAGTTAATATTCCTAATTGGTATCGATATGACGGAACCCAGGGTGAGTTAGTTCAACTGGTTTTCAGTTAAGTTTTTATTTCCTTTATCCCTCAGAATTAAAGACACTTACAGACTCGGTGATTTAAAGCTCTTCTACTTGCCCCTGATGCGACACGTGTCAGACAGAGTCATTAATACAGATTACTAAGGAGACGTGTCTTATATTTGACAGTTTTTGTATCCTGTTCTCCTTAAAGCCACTGTGCCTGCCATGACTACGTCTGCATACCAACTTTTTTTACGTTCAGTCTCCCGTCGCTCTCCAAAATTACGAAACGTTTTCTGCATACAGTGAGGAATAAAAGCTCTTAGTCCTGTATGTTAAAATCCAGTAACCTGACAATATGCATGGCATTTTAATTTCTGCTGCGCTGATGGAAACGTAAGGCCGTGCATGTGGTGAATGAATATTCATTACGGTTTTTCATCACTTTCACTGATATGTGTTTTGCTGAGTGAGAGAAGCAGAAATGGTAAATGTCATCTTTTCTTTGGATGTTAATAAAACATGGGAGTATCTGATGCTGCGTTCTGAATAAAGAAGGTACAATAGAGCTCCTGGTTGACATGTTGTTCTTCAAATTAATCTAATAAAAACTTGCCATTTCATGAAAACTCTCGCCGTTCTGTTTGGTCTTGACTTTTTCTTTATTCTTGAATTACTCCTCCTCAGATCGGTTGCGCCATCATTGCAGGAATCCTCCACTTTTTCTTCTTGGCTTCTTTTTCCTGGATGTGTCTCGAGGGTGTCCAGCTGTACCTCATGCTCATAGAGGTCTTCGAGAGTGAATATTCAAGAAAAAAGTACTACTACGTGTCTGGCTACCTCTTCCCAGCCATCGTGGTCGGCGTCTCTGCAGCCATTGATTATGGCAGCTACGGGACCAGGAAAGCGTAAGTCTGGAGAAATGCAGGGAGTCCAGTGTGTGGGCATACCTGCTGTGTGTGTGTGTGGAGGGGGGGGGGGGGGGGGCTTGATTTTTGAAAAGACATAAACTCATCATCACTGCCAGCACCTTATGTGCATCCCTAGAGACTACACCGAGATCTTCAAGCTCCATTTTCTTCTTTCATTGCCAGGGATGGGCGGCTGTTCAATTTTTCATGTCATTTGAAAGTAGCTGACAGACCCAACACTGTGGTTTCACCAGAGGGTGCAGCAACATTAATGCCTGCCTGCTCAAAGACCCTCCTGTGACCTCTTGTTTGTAAATGCTCTCTTAAAGAGAAGAGCGCTGTGCAGAAGGAGCCTTTTACATAGATTAATGGCCACATTCTAGCCATGACTCAGCAGTTAAGAGGGACTTATTAGGGCCTTTTTTTTCTCTGATTTGTAAAGATTTTATGTTATAAATACTTTAAATATCCAAATTGAATGTTGACACAAAACCAAAAGTCACATAAGTATTCCCCAAATCAAATATAAATTAAACTCTGATTAATGATGTTCTGCAGGAGTGTGACATCATTGTTGTTTTTTTTGTCATCTTAGGTGCTGGCTAAGTGTGGACAATCATTTCATATGGAGTTTTATAGGACCTGTCACCTTTATCATCATGGTAAGCTGTTTTATTTTACTTTGAATATGGAGGCTGTCAGAGAGCGGAAGCAGCGTGAGATGAAAACGATGCAGGGGCGAGATAAGGGGAGTGAAACGGTTAAAATGAGAGGAGAAGTCAGCAGAATTTTTTTATCCCTCTCTTTTCACCTTGTCTCCCCAGAGATGACAGGTTAATTCTGCACCAAAGACAGATTTCTGAGGCATTCGACAATTCTTTGTGCCTCTCTTTGCCTGACAGAAATCAGGACTTGATGATGTACTTTAACCTCACGTAGGTGTGACTCTGTGAAGTGGCATTGCTTAGTAGCTCTGTGTGTACGTTATTGTAAAGAGATGGCACGTATAAATGTGTATGTTGCAGCAAAATGGCAATTTCAAACTTTATTCATCTTTTTTTATCCTCTTTCTGGTGTGTTTGTCTACATTTAGTAAATAGTAGGTGGTGGTGTCTGGAAGAGAAAAGCAAAGGCACCTCTCTGTTTGGTCAAGGACCATCAAGGGTGAAGGACATATAGCATTTCCTATTGACACATGTCCCATAAAAAGGCATGCAATTATTTACTGGTCATGACATTATCTCCCGCTCCATCAGAGAGGCTCAGAAGAATGAGACCTCGGGGAGTCTGACTCCTCTGCACAAGCGAAAAAAGGAAATAGCATTGGCTGTGTCTGCATACGCACACTCCTCACTAAAGCATTGCTTTGCCCTTGTGCAAACGAAGGGAAGCGGGATTTCTGCTAACTTGCCTCGCTTCCATACGGGGAGTTATAGCTCTGAGTTCATATTATACAGCCTTAATGGCTGGTAGAGTATCTACAGACGTGGTGACCTCTGTTGAACATCGCGCTGACACTGAAAATATACTAGAGAGAAGGGGGCAGCTGTGTCAAACTCCGGCGAGTGTCTGCACACCGTTGGCAGGCTGCTTGGAGCCTTTAAAGCAAAGCTACATTGTAGCTCTTTGTGTGTAGCAGCAGAATAAATAAAAAACGAATCTGCTAACCGGACTGCATTTCACAGTTTTCTCAAAGAGAAACATCTCTTCTCCATGTTGCATTTAAAGATGGATGAGGAGGTGCATAGAAGATCTGAAGAAGGTCTGCACCTGACTGAAATGCCTTTGAGTAGATGCTGCTCTCTTGTTTTCACTTATCTCTCTCTCTCTCTCTCTCTCTCGCTCTCGCTCTGAAATTGCGAGCTTATAATTGAAGAAAAGCTAACATAGTATTAAAGCAAACCCACAATTCCCCCTGCCTCAGCAAATGCTCTGTTAGCCACACAGGAATATGTTTCCTCTCTCACTCCAAATTGGACTCTCATTGTTTTCCAATCGACTGTTGCTCTCAAAATAATCTGCATGAAAAATATGTCTGCAGTGGAAATGATGATCAGGATCCCAGCGGTGATGACCGGAGAGATAGAATCATGACCCTGTGAGGAGCTAATGTATTGCTGCGCAGCCCGTGTGTGACAGGAATGAGGTTTTGTTGTACTGGCTCGAGCTCGGCGCACTGCTTTCATGATTCGGCGCAACAATTGTCTCGAAAAGACAAAGCACTGTGGAAAGAGGCGTCTCTGGGGAGCTTGCAGGAGCAAGGTTTGGCTGCATCATCCATGACCCTGGTTTCTCTACAAATTGGCTTTGTCCTTGTCAGTGAGAGAGAGGGAGGTTAGACAGTGCAAGAGGCACGTGGTCAAAAGAAAAAGAGAAAACTGTGCAGCTCAAGGCGTGTTTTTGTGTGGAAATGCTGGTGGGAACCCAAAGTGGTCATGTTTTCTCTCATCCTGTCGAAATATGTCTAAAAGAGATGAAAAAACAAAAAGTGGGAGCAAGCATTTAGATCAATGTTCTCCAGCCGAGGCCGTCTGTCTGGAGGCACAGGAGGTATTAGCTCCATGAAGAGGGAACATGGAAGTAACGACTGGTGGGGGGGAGCCATTAGCATGCTTGAGATGGCTTCAACTCGAGACCTTTTGGATCATGACACGTCGCGAGCAGTTCTTGTCATCCGGACAGCTCCATCTGCACCTTTAATATTTCATCCCCTGCAGTTCATTTGGAGTTCAGGGTGTGCACACCCAGTCCACTTCGGCACAGAAAAAAAAAAAAAAAGCTCTCCCCTCAATCCCAGTGAGGCGAGGTTGCTTCTGCATGGCTTGCAGTGATGATTCAGAAAGAGAGTGAAGGATAGAAGCAAGGCTGCTCCGCTCCAGCTAGGAGCTGGGATCCCCCTGGGAAGGGCTGCGAAAGCATGTCGGTGGGGGTGGGAACATGTGCCATGCTGCTGGGTTACTTTAAAATACTGTGTCCCTCTCCTCTGTCTCATTGGATCCATGTCACCACTCCATGTGTGAAAGGTTTATTTCATTTTTTTCTCCCCCCACCTGTTCCTCCCCACCCCCCTCCGTCTTACTCATGCAGACTGGCTGAAATAAATGTCTGAATGCTGCAAAACAAAACATAGTTTTAGTGTCGTCTGTGGCATAAAAGTCCCTTCTTGATTTTCTCTTTCTTCCTTTCTTTCCTTGCCATCTCTTTCTTCTGCAGCCTGGCTTATTGTGTGCTGCTCCATGAGATGATTGCGTGTGGAGGGGGGTGATGTATTGATCACAGGCAGTCTTTTGATAGCAGTGTGCACCAGAACACTCGGAGAATTCTGTTCAAGAGTGAACGACTGTGGTCTGAATCCAGCTCGCAGGTCCCTCGCACTCGCAATTCATCTGTTTCTCTTTCTCTTCTGCTAAAAATAACACGCATACCCTGAAACGCAGCATTCACCAGGCTCCTCGGGATAAAAGCTTTTCGTGCACGCACCTGTGTTCAGTTTTACTTATCTGTCCGATTCTCTGATGTCCCCCATCAGCAACGCGCCTCTGGTCTGATTTTTTTTCTCACTCCGGGGACATTTCTCGACATTATTTATACGTGTGTGGCTCGCCAAACAAACAACTTGGGCACATCTGCTGCGAGCGCTCATACACGCTGCGTCGAGGACTGGTTTGCCCCAGAATAAATGTGTTTGAAGTAAATTATTTGGAGGAGCCTTTTTGCTGGACAATCTCTCCTTTGTGTCTCTAAATCACACTATTGATTTTTACGGTACCAAATAAATGTGCTCAGAAAGAAACAGCTCATAGGATCCTTGTCTCCACCTGATATGTGCCACCTTCCCCCTCTGAAGATTTCATACGCTAAAACAAGTGAGCAGGCTCCCTCTCCCTTCTCCTTTCTTCACCGTTCCTTTCATCTGGACACGAGAGAATCGAACCAACAATGCTATGTTCCCTCAAGCCTTTTGTTGCTGGTTATTCCTCATAATATTTCACTACGTGCATAAAATGATATGCAGTTGTTTTGTACAACAATAGGCTCTCTTATTTCTCCTGCTACTTTTCATTCCCTGCTGACATTACCAGACTGCTGCTCTGTGGCTGTTTCGGGTTTTTTTTCCTCCACATTGATGGATTTTAATGCATTTTCATGCTCCTATTGATATAGAATGACACTAAATTTGGCGCCAGTTGGCCAGTCTGAGACTAGCAAGCGTGATGGACGTTTATTGGATCAGTCGGGAGGACACGCGGAGAGTTGAAGGCTCCTGCTTTTAATACTTGTATATAAATTAACAGTTTATATTTATTTTTGCTCTGCCTTCTCTGCCTGCGTCTATGAATTAACGGCGCCATTTTTCTGTGTTGACAGCTCAATCTCATCTTCCTGGTGATCACAATGTACAAAATGGTGAAGCACTCCACCACCCTGAAACCAGACTCCAGCCGACTGGAGAATATAAAGTAAGTGGAGCGTCACACGCTGAACCCAATATTTCCCTTTTGTATGCACAATTTGGGTTATTTTCTCCCCAACTTCCACAAGGAAATATAAAATTCTCCACTTGTGGTTTTGGTTCTTGAGTCCCCTCCTTAAAGTTGTGTCGAGTAACAAATGATGGTGCTTTTTTACAGTATTTGTGACCAATCTTTACAATTATCCAGGCAATAAGTCATTGTTTTTACTGAAAAACAGATATATATTTTTTTATTTATGCTCGAAGCATTACTGTCAGCAGTCCTGCACACATTTTGGGAGCATTGTGTGTGTGTGTGTGTGTGTGTGTGTGTGTGTGTGTGTGTGTGTGTGTGTGTGTGTGTGTGTGTGTGTGTGTGTGTGTGTGTGTGTGTGTGTGTGTGTGTGTGTGTGTGTGTGTGTGTGTGTGTGTGTGTGTGTGTGTGTGCTGGGTTGTTATGTTCCAAACCAGCAGCCACAGAATTGTTTCGACATGACACACATCACTCTTAAGCTGCAGCTTAACTGCGCGCTGTTATGTCGTGTTGGGGTGTGTAAGAAAAACTGAATAACAAAGAAAGAAAAAGAAAAATCTCACCTGACTATCGCTGCTCTTGAAGGTGGTTTTCAACACCAGCATTCTGCCCTTCTGTCAACAGAACAATATTTAATAACATTTGATGCACGACCTGTTTCTTTTTTCTTATTTGAGGTTGTGTGGTTTTGTCGGTCGCTGTACAAATGCCAGTTTATGCGATGGTATCATTACAGTAAGTGTTCCAGCTGCAACCACTCAGTGTAGGAGGGACACTTTCACCATTTATAGTCAGTGTTTGTTTTTTGTTGTAATTCTTTTTTTTCTTTCTTCTTTTTCTGTTGTGCTAAATTTGTGCAGCTTCACAACACTGTAGTAAATCTGCAATCAGGGCGAGCAGTCACAAAGGGCTTATTTAGACGTTTGGGTTTATTTGTGACAGGCTACTCCTTTAACAAACAAACCTCAGTGAAGCACATTTTCAGAACTCTGTGGCTGTCATCAGATTGGTACGTTTTCTTCCTCGGTGTGAAAACAATTTCATTTAGGCTTGTTTATGCTGGCAGAATATGGCGTGTGCTAATAGCTGTTCCCCTGTGGTCATTTTATTTGTGTTCTTTTGTGCTTTCAGACTCACTTTAACTCACTGACTGTTGCATGTTGCATGCAAAGGCAAAGTTAACGCACACCCTCTGCTTTCTTTTTCTCCTCTCATCCTCCTTCTCTCCCTCTCTGTCCTGCGCGCCACACCAGTAATTATCGTGTTTGTGATGGCTACTATAATACAGATTTGCCAGGGTAAGCTTTTATCATTTCATATCGAATACTTCTGCTCACACCCATCACTATAAACTCAAGTTCAGACTATGTCATGTCTGACCAATTGCTTCTCTTAAAGACCAAGTTCACTAAGAAACATTTTTATTTGTTATTTTTTAAAAGATGACCCTCTGAGTTAAATTCTTTTTTATGTTTTGATTTTCTGTTTTTGTGAAGGGCGTCGTGATTTTTATCCTGAGAGGCGCTATAGAAAAGATTCTTCTTCTGAACATGCAGGCTGAACGTAAAAAAAAGTATTCTAACTCTATTTCCTGTATTAGCTTCTGATAGAAAACAGATGGGGGAACCTAAAAGGGTTCTCATCCGAGGAGCGAAGCGTCTTCAAGAAACCAAAGACATCCTGTCTAACCCTTTTGGATCACCATGACCCGGATGACCAGCAGACAGGGAAACATTCGTATTAGAAAAGCCTGACATTAGCATGTCACCTTGAAAAATTAGCATTCATGGTCTCATCCATCTTGGCTCACGGTGAGGAAGGCTGCTGCTAATTCTGTCTCTAGGAAAGGGCAGAGCACAACTCGGCTAGTAGAAGCTAACCATTAGCTTTAGCAACTCCACAGCATGGCAGAACTCCTTCAGGCTTATGGAGATGAAACATCATTGTTGCAAACAAAACAAAGTCAGTGGTAAGAGTCGTGTTGCCGTTAGCCAAGCAGAGGCGAGATGTCCAAATGTCTGGAATAAAGACTCAAAAATCTGCTGATCTGCTCACCTCTCCTCTGGCTAACTTCTAGTTCCTGAATCAAGAGCACCAGAGTTTTATTTCCCCACAGAGATCTACTCACAAGGCGTTACTTTATACCAGAGGTTTGGGACAGCAGTCGCTCAGGAGGTAGAGCAGGTTTTCCAGTAATCAGAAGGTTGCAGGTTCGATCCCAACTCCAACCAGAGAATGCCGCTGGTGTGTCCTTGGGCAAGACACTTAACCTGCCTTGCCTGTTGGTGGCGCCTGTGTTCAGTAGGCCTCGCCTCTTGTCAGTGCGCCCCATGACAGCTGTGGCTACATCACAGCTCATCCCCACCAGTTTGTGAATGTGTGTGTGGGTGAATGACTGATTGTGTTGTGAAGCGCCTTGGGGGGGGTTGTAGAACCCTAATAAGGTGCTATACAAATACAGGCCATTTACCGTTTAGAAAACAAGTGAACTTGGTCTTTAAAGTGGGAATTTTCTAATTTAATCAACAGTAAACTACAAATGTTGATTCTTTCCTAATTTCTCATGAATCACAGCTGAGGATATGACTCTCAACCAACCCGCACTGTCCTGTGCTCTGATCTAATTGTGTTTCTCTCTTCCTGTCTATCTTGCTCTCTAGCTATGAAGATAATAAACACTTTATCAAGTAAGAACGATTCACACAGAAACCTCCTTTTCAGCTTCTAGTTTATTCTCGTCACTCTCCCTTCCTTCTTTCTTTCTTTCCTCATTTATACTTTTTACTATTTCCCCCTCAATCCTACAGCTTTAAAGCTTCTCATCGCCTGCCCTTGATTTTCCCATCAATCCAGTCCAGTTTCGTGGTTATTGTTGTGTGTTTGAGCATTGAACTGTGACAACTGTTGGTCTGATGGCTTCACTGAACCTTTATATACACAAACACACACACACACACACACACACACACACACACACACACACACACACACACACACACACACACACACACACACACACACACACACACACACACACACACACACACACACACACACACACAAATTGTTCCGCATCTCCCTTCTAGCCCAGTTCTGAAAACACACACTAGAATATTTCAATTTTTTTTTTCATTTATTTTATTTTTACTTTTCCTGAAAACGTGCTGCGCTCTGTGAATTGTATTCCCAGTATGTTTTAACGCATGAAGGAACAGTTTACAGAAAAGCAGATCAGGGTTTGTCCTCCTTGCTGACATTCCGAAGGCGGGAAACGCTTTTAGGTTTGAACCGAGTGTGTGAAAGGAGGGATTGCATATGTCTTTTTTGCCATTCTGTGTTTCTCTATCACAACTTTTTTTCTTCCAAGCTTCCCAGTCTGTCATCACTGTGCCTTAACAGTTCTGATTTTAAATCCACCTCTTCTCTGTGTTGTTTTCCTCTCTGCCTTAGATCTTGGGTCATGGGAGCTTTTGCCTTGCTGTGCCTGCTGGGTCTCACGTGGTCATTTGGTCTCTTCTTCATCAGCGAGGCCTCGATTGTCATGGCGTACCTTTTCACCATATTCAACACCTTCCAAGGAATGTTTATCTTTATTTTCCACTGCCTTCTCCAGAAAAAGGTAACTTTTTTCTTGTCTAAACTGCTAGAACTACTAAAAGATTTGTCCTTCAAGGTGAAAGGCGTGCAGATTTTAATATTCCTCCATTCTGAGCCTCCCCACATGCCAACATGAAGACCAAACACCGCTTGCTTTTTTGTTGGTCAAGCTATATTTAAAGCAAACAGTCTGTGTCAACACTTGCTGTTTAAACTGTTGCAGGTCCGCAAAGAGTACAGCAAGTGCTTCCGCCACACGTACTGCTGCGGCGGGCTGCCGACTGAGAGCTCGCACGGTTCTACAAAGACTTCGACTACACGAACCAGTGCACGCTACTCTTCTGGCACACAGGTAGATCACCACCCTCACACCAACTCAGACGGAGCTCCATACAGAGGATAGTTGAGGGAAATGTCCTCAACTGGCAAAGCTTTCAGGCCTGCTTGGTCTTTTCACATTTTCTTTTAAAATCATTTAAGATCATCTGTGTGCACACGAATCTCTGCAATGACAAAACCACATCAGGTAGCATCAGGATTTGAACACAGAAAACCCGAGATTTCAGACCTCTGGGGATGTCACACTGTATTGTGCCTTCATGTTTAACCCTTCATGTTTAATTTACATTTGTGGCTCTATGTAAAAGGTCTGTATTTGATATGGCGCCTTCTAGAGTCCTGGAAGCCCCAAAGACACTTTAAAACACAATCAGTCATTCACACCCTGGTGGGGATGAGCTACGATGTAGCCACAGCTGTCCTGGGGCGCACTAACAGAGGTGAGGCTGCCGAGCACAGGCATCACCGTCTCTCTGACCACCACTAGCAGGCAACGTGGGTTAAGTGTCTTGCCCAAGGACACAGCGACAAACTGAGCGGGGCTTGAACCTGCAACCTTTCTGTTATGGGACAAGCACTTAACTCCTGTGCCACTGTGGGTTTCTGCGACATGGCACGGATGCCACATCCAGCAGGCTCACTTTTTTTCTGCACAACACCGTGGCTCTAGGTGGTCCAGGAGACAGCGAAACCCAATGGTTTGCTGTCCGTAGGCAAATTTTCTGTTTATTAAAGTATCTTGCAGTGTCGGCTAGCTCCATGTTTTTGTCCGAGTTGCTGCAGAGAACTGAGATTATTTATGGCTGACTAGGAATTTATTGGAGACAGGTGATTGGCTGTGTCAATGCCTAACGGGAAAAGGCTAAAAAGAGAGAAGTTTGAATTTGATACACCGCCTTAAAAACAGAGTGTTGAACGCAGCTTTTCCACTACATTAAATGACCAGTTTGCTAACGTTTTAAGTGGCTTAGGAGACACGTTAGCTTTGCATTAGCCTGCTAGCTAACAGCTACATGTTAGGGTGTCCAAATCCCTTACTGCTGTGTGTGACGTTACGATGTCATCACCCATGCAACAATGAATGTTGATGTAGAAGTTGTTAAAATTAAAACGAAGCCATTGTTATTCTATTTGAAAGTCTCCATCTCAGGATGGATTTAAAATATATTTCATAATATTTGTTGTTTTAAGGCTGAAATCTGATGTTTAAAAATTACGTGATTGGGCCTGATTTCCGATCACGTGATCGGATGGGAGCATCTGAACTATAAGCACATGAAAGCAAAAGTGTCTAGGAAATGATCTAGTTGTGAAAGGATACAGTTGAAGAGTCAAAATCAAAGCAGCTCTCATCATTTTGAAGTAGAAAATCCAGAATCAGACAGATGTTTTTATTGGCCAGATCCAAGACAAAAGGTCTCGGCTAGATAGGTTAAGCACCCAGCCGATGGACATGACAAATGAGATCCAGAGTTTCTTCCTGGAGATGGGAGAGCCTCGCAGAGGGACGAGCATTAGTGCAGCTCTCCAACAATCTGGCCTTTACGGTCGAGTGGCTGCACAGAAGCCATTACTCCCTAAAAGATGTCCTGCTGGTATATTTCCTAAAAGACACTCGAACAATTTGCAGACCTTAAGAAGTAAATTTTTTTCTCATGATGGAAGGAAGTTGGAAGTATCTGGTCAAAATTCCAAGCAGCATGTAAAGGGACAAACCAGTTGTGTCGCTGATTTCATAAAACAGCCAAATAAAACAGAAGTGACTTAAGGAAACATCCGTCAAGGACCTAAAAGACCCCAAAAACTGATCCAAAATTTTCACCATCTTATTAGAGAGACCTTTATTGCTCCTTTGTAGTACTTTTTATAATTCTGCTTTAAAATGTTCCAAAAATGTAGTGTTTTTTTTTTGTCATGTAGTGTTTAACCAACACTACATGACAGTTTATTATCCTTCTTCTTTTGTTTTGTCATTGTGGAGGTAGTCATGACCTGAATCCTTCTAAAGTTTATGTGTAAAAGAAAAAAGTTCCTGTGCAGTAGGTTCATCGTGAGTCTATAGGCATAACACAAAGAAAGCACATTTGGCATTTAAGCTTCAGAGGTGCATCAGAGACAGCGGCATTATTCCGTGTTTTACGATCAGCATCTGTTGTGCTGCATGGCAACCTTTCCTCTGCTAAAGCTCCTTTAGCACTTGCTTTTATTTTATTTCTCTTTTTTTCTTACTAACATCATCTGCATGGGAAATGTGCACTTGTTAAGGAGCATTGCAAGTACGCTTCAGGCAAGAAAATAAGCTACTGCAACAAAAGTGTTCACTTTACAAAGCTGATAATCGGATGATAGATAATAATGTAACATATTGGCCTCATGCTGTAGCCAAAGTGGGACAACTGCAGCTAAAAGTATATTTTGACCGAATTGGCCATGAAAAGATTAAATAAGAAGGCTTTGTCTCCTCTTGGGTGTGCATTAGTGGGCAGGTGAGAGTAAAGTTTGCAGTTTGTATGAGAAATGAATGAATGTTGATGTGAAAGGTGAGCAGGTTTATCTAAAGTCCTAATGACTGTCCCTTGTTGACCAAACAGAGTCGTATCAGGAGAATGTGGAACGACACCGTAAGAAAGCAGTCTGAGTCCTCCTTTATCTCAGGTGACATCAACAGTACCTCCACCCTTAACCAAGGTCAGTTCACACCTCATCTTTGTTCACACACGTTTAAATGATCACCCTCTGTTTCCCGTGATCTCACAGAAAACACAGACTCCAGGGAAATGTAATAAATGGCTTCAGCTTGAACAGAAAGAGCAGTTTGTGAAAAGGGGAAGGGTGAAGAATCAGGTCTTCGGTGGAGTTTCCATGTTCTCCCAACGAAGCATTACAGAAATCCTTTCTCAAATACCGCATCATCGTTTTGGCTCTAAGTGTCAGTCTCAGACTGGGACAAGACACGTCCCGTTGAAGCTGCAGCTCAGGAGGAGCATGGACAAAAACTATAACGGGGAAAAAAAAGTTTTATTTTTGTAAACTCCCAATGCGCTGCCTTTGTTGTCTAGCATATGTGACCTGTGTGAATGTTGGTGGATTCATGAAGGAGGGAGCAAAAAAAGCTGTCATTTATTATTTAGCTTGAGCACAAATATGATGATGAGAAGATGATGTTCAACTCTGGCTGACCCAGAGTGCTTAGTGTGATGTTAGGCTTTCTGCTGCCTCTGAAATGGCTTTCCAAGCATGCGATGGTAGCTTCACTTCACTTCCCCTCCTCCGACTGCTGTCACTGCTGCTCTGTGCCTTTCCCTCCCCCCTCTCCCTTTTTGATGTCACTCCCCAAAAGACAGAACGTATTTTGGTCTGATGAGACATCAGTAACAATATAAAAGTAGGGTCCTCCCCCCCTCCATCCTTTCACGTGCTACCATTTCCTGGAGATGTTAATGCAAAGGTTGGATATTGATCACTCCGGGGCGTAGGAGTTACCCCGGAGAGTTAGTGCACTGAAGGAGGGCTTTATCTCCTAGAAGCACTTCCATGTCATTAAAAACATCCCTGGAGACATCTCAACATGACAGATGGCATTTAACACAGGTGATAAATGGCAGTGGAAATACCTCAGATCCCTAAAACACACTGCAAGCTCGGGAGAAAAATGAGCTAGATTAGGCTTTGGGAGATTACGGCTAAATTTTAGCCTTAATTGAATTTTTATTTTTTTTTACGAAAACTTGGAAAATTCTCCCTTATATTATATTTTGGACCCACCTGAAAGTTTTGAAGGAGGTGCTACTTTAAGATTCTCACACAAGATGATGAGTGAACACGAGTGGTGGAGCAACAGATGACAGGATGTCACAACGAGTCTCGTTGGTAAATAAACGGTTATGAAAGACGCGAAGTGGAGACGAGAGCCAGCAGCAGACGGAGAGCAACTGTTGGGCTTTTTGGAAAGAAGAGGCGGCTATTTTGTTTTAAAACTTTATTCTCTGATCACAACTTTTAAAAGTAACACCCTAGTTTCACATTTTGGCACAAACTTGCAATGGCATGGCAAAGAATGAAAAAAAAGCATTTTCTTCATTTCTTTTGTTCATGAAACTTTTAAGTCAACTGGCAAACTTATTTTCACCTCCTCTTGTCTTGTCACTCCAGGAATGACTGGGAATTATCTACTAACAAACCCTCTCCTGCGACCACAAGGCACTAACAACCCCTATAACACCTTACTGGCTGAGACAGTCGTGTGTAACACCCCCACAGCTCCAGTCTTTAACTCGCCAGGTGTGCTTATTTTATTCTTTCACCTGCATTCTGCCATTCCTGCCCTGTCTTCACCATCCCTACCTCCATCTCTCCCTCGTTGGTCTCTTCTGTCGAGTGTGCAGGAGAGCCGAATGAAAAGCAGCATCGCCTTTCCCTTTTAAATCACTCTCCCAAATGTGTGTGTGTGTGTGTGTGTGTGTGTGTGTGTGTGTGTGTGTGTGTGTGTGTGTGTGTGTGTGTGAAAACACAAACATTTTGTCATGTAGGACAGAGATTTTTGTGGTTCACCTCCATCCAGCCTGTGTGCACTCATGTTTCTCTTAACATAATGATTAAGATGGGAAGGAGATACTACATGTCCTGCCTCCAGATAATGTGAATGGTGCCGTTGAATAAACGGCACCATCATTATGATTTATTTCCAGGGGGGGGTTCGAAAGTAGTTTTCCTCCTAAAACCCATAAACCTTTAACTTATGTCTTCATTACTATAGTTTTCACCGTAAACTTGCTTAAACGATACGCTCAGACCGTGTGATTGTGTGTTTTGTTTCTGTTTTGAAACTGAAAGTGGGATATTTTTGTCATGTTTTGTGCTTTCCTCTTGTGCTTTCCTTTAGTGACCTACAGAGAGACAAGTATGGGAGTAAAACTTAACTTTGCCTATCAAATGTAAATTTTTTTCAGCATGCTTATTAAAAACAACCCAAACCCTGGCACCATCACTGGTTTACTTTAGGCCATTAACACACACTCACAGAGCAAGTGGTTCACAAAACTACTCACTTCATAAAAGATTTAATTGGACGATCCTCTCAGATCTATTCATCCCAAATTTGCCCAAAAGTTTCCTGTTTTTTTTGTCTAATTTTATTTTATCTACTTTTTTAACAGAAACAAAGCATTTAATAATGTTTTCCCATCTCTTTTTTTTCCTGCCATAAATGTTTGTCCTCTTCGTCCTCATATGGCAGTCTCAGTGTCCAGCATTATTCCTGTCACACGCTTTCAGACAACACCTGTCTGGACACTAAATTGCCTCCTAGCAGGCATTAACGCATTGGGTGTCATGGCAGCAGCTGTCCACTTTTTCTCTCTTTCCTTTCAGATCTTTTATGTCTTGCGTTTCCTCTCATTTCCAGTAGATTCTGTTGAACATTTGCCTCGTCCACCACTTGTCTTCTTTTTTTATGCAGTCAATTATCCCCATAAGTCACTGCAACAGCCTTCATTTCTGCATGTTACTCTGCAAGAACGTGAGCAGCCATGACAGCACACATTTGTTTCATCATCTCTCCTCTCAGTCACGGCATAAATAATATTTAGATTTCTCTCAGCTGCTTTTCATGACCTCCATGCTTTGAGAAATTCCAAACATGACCGCGCCTGACCTCTGCGGTGTTTCTGTTTTCTTGAGCTGTTCTCCCGGTGACCGGCGGCGCCTCACTGGGAACTGTTACTGACGAATGCCAAGTGTCGAGCTGTGGGCAAGCTCTGACCTTTGCCAGCTTTGGGTACACAAGCTGCCAACTAATGGACAGCGAGTGTACCAGCACCAAGTAAAAACAAAGAGAGAAAAACAATGATTGAACACAAAGTGGCGGCTGGCTTTTATTCGACCAACATAAAAGCAGTTTGTTGCTTGCCTCCTTTCTTTGCTGAACCCTTGCTCTTGCTAAGTTGCTGTTGATTTTGTTGTTCTTTTGAGCTATTTCTTTTTTCATGTTCCAATAAATCATTTTACTTTTTTTTTTTGTACATCAGCCGCTCTTAGACCAGATAGCCTGAGCAGACAGACATGATGTGAGTTGTCCAAAGTGAGTCTTTTCACCTGCTATGTGTGGTGATGGTGGAGTGCTGCTTGTGGGCTCCCCTTGTAGTGAGAACAAAGATGGCTGCCCCATGTTAAAAAAAACACACTTTCCCTTTTCTATCCATGTCATTTTTTCACATCTTTCCTTTGAAATACCTCAGCACATCCGAGCTGCTAAACCCCGTCTGTCGTAGAGCTTGTGGCTTCGTACTTGTGAACATCGACTTTGCCCGGTGTGTTGTGATGGTGGTTGTTGTTTCAACTCTTAATGTTGTTTGGGATCTTTTTCATTGCTTTGCCACAGTAGTGGCAGATGCTCTGCTTTTGAATTTTATTTTATTGTTTTCACAAAAGATTTTGTGAAGGGGAAAGCTGAAAGTAAAATGATATCTCATTGCAAATAATGCATGTTTATGTATTGGTTGTCGAGGATTGTGCCCGACTAACAGAATTATAGCATGGCTTCAATTAACCTTAGGTTTATTGTGGTTTTATTTACTCATTTTAACATGAAACTGCATCCTGAACAGCATTAAACTTTTGCTTCCTCCTTTCACCATTGTTGCAGATGACTAATGTGATTTCTCTTCGTGTTTTCCTCCCACCCCCCACCCACCCCCACCCCCAGGGCACTCACTGAACAACGCGGTGAGGGATACAAGTGCAATGGACACTCTACCGCTAAATGGTAACTTTAACAATAGCTATTCGCTCCGTAACGGGGACTTCGGCGACAGTGTGCAGGTAGTGGACTGCGGGCTCAGCCTGGACGATGCTGCCTTCGAGAAAATGATCATCTCTGAGTTAGTGCACAACAACCTCCGTGCCTGTACCAAAAGCCACCAACAACAGCAGCACTCCACTTTACGTCACCCACCCCCCCACCAGCAGCCGCCACAATACCACCATCACCACCACACGGAGCGGGCTCCGCCCAAGGTGACGGTGGTCGGCGGCAGCAGCAGCGAAGATGACGCCATTGTAGCCGACACTTCGTCTTTGGTCCACGTGGGTGACACAGTTGGCCTTGAGCTGCACCCTCAGCGGGAGCTTGAAGCGCCGCTCATCCCCCAACGGACTCACTCGCTTCTGTATGCACCCCAGAAGAAGGTGAGGACCGACGGGGGTGTTGAAACAATCGTCAGCCAGCTGACGCCCACCAACCCCGATGACAGTCCACAGTCCCCAAACAGAGACTCCTTGTACACTAGTATGCCTAACCTGAGAGACTCTCCCTGTCCGGAGAGCAGCCCCGACGTTGTGGAAGATCTCTCCCCAACCAAAAGGAGTGAGAATGAGGACGTTTACTACAAAAGCATGCCTAACTTAGGGGCCGGCCACCAGCTCCAAGCCTATTACCAGATAGGCCGAGGGAGCAGTGATGGTTTCATTATTCCCATTAATAAAGAGGACTGCATCCCTGAGGGTGACGTCCGAGAAGGACAGATGCAGTTAGTAACAAGCCTTTAAATGTATTTAATTCCTCCCCTGGGCCTCCCCGCCCTCACACAACCCTGACTACTTGCAGGACACACAAGTGAAGGCAGGAAAAGTGTTTTATTTTTTAAGAAAGCCTAGAATTTCTGTCACACGAGCTTATCACCTACAAACCTCCCTTTCTCCCATTTGCATCGCCATTCCTTTCTTCCACCTCCCCCACCTGCCCCGCAGACCCACGGACTCGCAGCACAGCAACAGCGGTGCGAAGGTTTAAGGAGACTGTACATAAGATGTAGAGTCAAATTTCAATTTTAAGAGACAAGCCAACTATGTATTTAAATGTGCTGCTGCTGTTGAATCATTGACAAAACTGAAGGTGTCAGAACTGAAATAAAAAAGGAAAAAAAAAATTTAAAAACATTACTGGCAACATCCAAACAGCAATTTCCCTGTCAAAGGTTGTACATACACCTCCCAACATCCAAGAGGAACCATTGTTTTTTTATTTAATTTATTCTTTTTTAATATAATTTGAACACCAGAGGACCAGGACATGGACACACATTTGTAAAATGTTCCTGATCTGACTGTTAGAAAAGGAATTCAAAGGTCCTGATCATGCTCCATCACCACCAAGTTTGGATTGTAAAACCACTAGCAATCAAGCCCCTGGCCTTATATTTTTCTTAAATGTACCTTGAGTTGTTGTCAAGGAAAATCTGCTAAAATATATATTTTGTTGTATTGCTAGTGTAAAATAAAAATTCAAGGGGAAAAAACTGAATTATCAAAGAATCTTTTAATTGCAAAATTTAAAGTTTGAAAGATTATCGTGTAGAGAAGTTGCACATATGTAAAAGTGTGTGTTTATGGTTCCAACACTTCATCCATGGTTGTGCGCTTGAACGTGAAGGCGAGTCGATCGGTTACAGAGAAGCATCTTCACCTTTTCTGCTTGTGAACAGTGTTTTTCGCCTAAAGAGTTCTGTTTATAATGTCCATTGAAATATCTTTATGCCAAAGTGGCATCACTGTAGTAGAATGGGATTGCAACAACCCAGTTAAGGTAATTATGCATTGCACATTTTTTTTTTCCTTTTTCTTTTTGTAATTACGACAGAAATAGATCTTTTTACCAGTCGTGGCAGAGTGATGGACAGCAAAAGTGAAGGCAGACTTTTGACTATAAAAGTTTTTATCATAAATGTAGTTCTTCCGCTCGGGTTTGAATATTTTATTTATTAAAGATCTTTCCAAAAAAGTAAAAATGGGAAATGTGTGAATATTTTCCCGCACTGGTATACATGCTGTACTGTAGCTCATGTTTCCTTTTTTTATGATTTTTTTTTATTGTAAGCATTAAGGGGGCTTATCACTTAAGACTGATGTAAAGTTCAACACTTGTTTAACAAATACAATAAATGTGAGATTTTTTGTCAAAAGACGGTTGCTTTTTAATGGGTTGTGTTTCTGTTGCATCTTTAGAAAGCAGGCTTGATTGTGTCGTATGGACAAAACTCACTTCTGACTCAGGTTATAAGCAAGTCCCGAGCACCTTGAAAGGTTTTCTGAAGAATTGATTTGCTTTTTTATTATTATTATTATAAATATTATGACTTTTTTTTTGCTCTGCTATTTCTTCAATCGCTGCGGAGTAGAGAGAGCTCACCATGTGTTTTAGAGAAGCCAAAATTTGTCCATGTGATTCAAACATGAGAAAACTCAGGTAGGAAAACTGCATTGTAAATGTTCCTCTGTGTGGTTGTAACACTAATAAAAGGTTCAAAACTGACACTGGTTGGAAGCATTGTCCGCTTAGTATATTACTGAATGAGCACCAGATTGGGCATAATTAAAGGGTTTTGCTCTGCAGAAGTAAAACGTTGGCTGATGGCCGCATGGGAGGAACCTAACAAGAGGTCAGCGTTACACATGGCTGCAGTCGTCGAAACATATTACATAAAATATCTGGGTGCGACTCACGTTTGCCCTAGTGAATGTCTTCCGTTGCATGCTTTTACTTTGTATTTTTTGCGTCAGGTGCTGCTAATTTACAAAGCATTTTCATGTATCATCAGCCGAGATGGAGCGACGGCTCGCAGCGGGGTGACTGTAAATTGCACTGTTTACCATTTGGCATTGAAGGAAATGACTCAGAACTGTGCAGAAATGGACTTTATGTCAGAGCACAAAATGCTGCGTGGGCTGCGTGTTGTTTTGACTTTTTTTCAACAATTATGTGACAGTTTGTGCAATTATCTGAGGCTTCAAATTGTCATTGAAGTATTGTGTGTGTGTGTGTGTGTGTGTGTGTGTGTGTGTGTGTGTGTGTGTGTGTGTGTGTGTGTGTGTGTGTGTGTGTGTGTGTGTGTGTGTGTGTGTGTGTGATCTCGTCTATGGACCCCTCGAATAGCGGTTTGGAATCAAGTGTTAGGGTAATTGTTGACTGTTGAAAAGACATAATGACATGCATAATAATGAGAAAAATCATACTAGTTTCCATTCTGTGCTGTTAAACTGTGTAATAACCCTTATAATTTATATTTTTTAGGAGTGTCATTATCATTGAATACAAATTTAACACATTAATTTTAGGGAGGCAGGAGCTGCTACGAATTGGGACAAAGATGCCTAAAGAGATGGCTGCAATTACAAAGAAAACTGGTTCCATTTTAAAAAGTGTTCAGAAATGTCAATGCAGTAAACGCTAAAAGCAATGCCTTATTCAAAACTGCACTTTCACTTGTTTATTTGCAACAATGACTATAAATCACCTCCCAGCAGCTTGACCCTGAAACATAAATGTGAGTGCTCTGTAAATATATACTGAAAAATAAAGATTTTTACATTTCAGTTATCCCTCTGTTTAAAAAAAAAACCTATAAACTATTTCTCTCTTTTTTTTCCACCCCTTTTCTCCTTGTTGATCCGCACACTGTGACCTTAGACATGAGTAACCTTTGTGGGTAAGCAGGTTTATTTTCATCATTAGCAGCAGGGAAACATGAGCTGAGATTGTCCAGACGCTGGTCGTGTCTGTGACCGACGATCTGGCCTCTGGCTCTGTGTGTGGCCTTCATACTCTGCAAGACTTTTACTCTGAGAGGGGTTCCTCTATGGCAGGCCTTTGAGGTCAGGAGCTGAAAGCCTGGCATCTTAGTTCTTCCCAAAGAGACGCTCATCAATCCTGAGGTAGCAGGTAAAAATAAAAAACACGTAATCGCAGAAGAGACCAGCCTGGTTTGATGGAAAAATGAGACCAAACGAAGGATTGTCAAGTAAGAAGGAATTTCCATTTTTCATAGATTTGCTGCAGTTGCACAAAGATTGTTTCATCATTTAAAATGATCATTAAAGCTTTAACTGAACTGTTGCTGTCTTTATCATCACTATATACCAATGAAAGAACCTGTACTTGTTTTAGTTTTCCAAGAGACTTCATAAAGATGACCGTTTTCGTTCCAGTAGTGAAAACTTGAGAGATTTGAGCCATTCTTTGGATTTTGTGCTATTTTTTATTTTGTGGTGCGGAAAAAAAAATAAGTTTCATAATTAATTTTGGACGAGTTCTTTAGTCTAATTTCATCAAGTAAGAGGTAGGTGTACAATTAATCTTTTGCTTCTACCTACACCCTTTAGGTTACATAGTGCAGTGGAAATCATTTGTTTGTTTTATCCAGCAATAAAAGTTTGTTCATTCACGTGTTTTATTTTTTGTTTTTATTTTAGTTAGATTTTTTGATTTACGACACTGTGAATCAACAAAAAGAAAATATTATCAAACACAGACAACCTGAGTAAATACAATTTGTAGTTTACAGATGCTGAGTTCATTTATGAGCTATCCAATTCAAGCCCATGTAAAACAGTAATTGCCCTCTAAACCTAACAACTGGCTGGAACACTTCTGGCAGGAACAATTACTATCAAGTGTTTGTAATAACTGGTAATGACTCACTCAAATCACTGTGAAAGAATCTAGTCCCACTCTTGTCACAGACTTGTAATTCAGGAACACTGGAGGGTCTTTTAAGGATGAATGGCATGTTAAGGGTCAAAGTTCAGACATTCTCCTGCAGGAGTATGTCATAGAGAGCAGAAATCAGGGTTCCATCATTACAGCAAGTGGTCTAGGTCTTCAAGCACCAAGACAGCTCCTGACCATCACACTACCACCGCCATGTTTGACTGTTGGTATTCTGAAATTTATCTTGTAAAGAAACACGTCTTTCACAAAGTTTCACCAGTCCTGGTGCTCATGAAGATTAGTTTTGTCGAATGTGAAATGGGTCTTTAAGTTCTTTGTAGTCAGCAGAGGTTTTTGGCCTTGGAGATAATCTGTGGAAGCCATTTTTGTTGTTGTATCTATTTTATTATTGTGGACCTCCAGTTGTGACTTATCTTATCTTTTACCAAAGGATGGCTAGAAAGCTTTAAATGTTGTTCTGGGTTCTTTACAAGAGCATGATGGGTTATTATTTTATACAGATCCAGATTGGTTTTGATAGGTTTTTATCTTAACCCTCTCAGGCTCAAAAAAAGTTTTGATAAAAGGACGAAAACTAAGTCCTTCAGGGGTACTTCTGAGTTAAAAAATGCTCATGAAATACGTATGTGGAGTAACCAGGTAGGTAGGTTTTAATGTTGCAAATCTGCAACGCCTGCCTCCAGAGAGTTATTAAGTGAAATCATTCAATAAAACAGCATTTTATATTCACTCAAGTTTCTTTTTCTGTTGGACAAAACCCCAAAAAGAGCACCTTTTACATTTCTACATTACAAAAAGGAACCAATAGCACTTGTATATAAAATCGTACACCTCCCGAAATATTGACACTTCTTTAAAAATTGAGCATTTCTAGTTTTCTTGTTAGTTTGTCCAAAATTGTTGATGGGAAGTTGATTTTCCATCAGAGATTTGTCCAAGTTTATCAACAGCCTCTGCAGCAGTAACTCCTGTAAATGGAAAACACTGCCAATTATAGATACCATCAAAGTGGATGAAAGTGATTGTGTACAAGAAAAAAAAAAGAATGAATGGGTGGGGGGTGGGGGGGTGGGGGGGGGGGGGGGGGTGGGGGGGGGTGGGGGGCTCTGAAGCCATAAACAGTAACTGGCACCACAAAAGTCACTTCCCCAACTCTTGAAGTTGAAGGGGCTCCTTTAAACTGCAGACTCTTTTCTTCCCCCAGTCTCTTTTGCCCTGTCCCCAACTTCAAATGTGCAGATTTGCGGCCCATGGGCGACTTAGATCCGGTCCCGTCGAGGTGAAAAATCCAATTAACCTGCAGCTCCGGCTGCCTTCGTTATAATCCCCTCCCATAATTATGAAATTACCAGATGCAGGATTTCAGATGGAAAAAAAGGGGATGAGAGTGAGTGGCTCAGGGGAAAAGAGAGGTGAACTAAAGCATTCCTTGACAGTACACTGTTACCATTTAGCTCCAGATGGAACACTTCATTCATACGAGTGAATTTTATAATTACATCTGAGAAAAGCTGGTGATCAGGATGAGGAATCATGATTACAAACACTGTAACACAAGGGTGGGTGGATCTTAATCTAGCGTTGGAGATGAATGGACTCCTGAAGGTCTTCCATGTTTTGCTGTTTGGAAATGGCTTGTAATGCAATACTGTGGACTACTGATTGAAACAAGCTTAAAACAAGAACCTGTTCTAGACATGTTAGCCACTGGAGCTTTGTGATTATGAAGTATTAAGATGGAATCTTCTTTCTTCTGCTACATTTATGGTTCCTAAAACTAACAAAACAAAGGAACAGGTGTTATCCAGAAGGAGTTTATTGCAACATCTGCAAAGTCAGTAACTTGTGATGTGATTTAATCTGTAGGAAATTATAATTTCCTGCATTATTTTCTCAGTCAATAAAGTTAATTGGTTACAATTTACAAAAAGGGTCCCTTTATTATTGTTACTTAGTGCATTATTAGGCATCAATAAATAAAGGACCCCTTAATTGATGTTCCTGATATTGTTAAATATTAAATATCCTTAGGGTTAGGAATAAGGGCCAGGTGTGTGTGTGTGTGTGTGTGTGTGTGTGTGTGTGTGTGTGTGTTTCTGCCCAGTTCTTTGCTTATCTAATCTATTCTATTCAGGTATTTTCCTTTTAATTGTATTCTGTCTTTTTCTATTCTATTCTATTCTATTCTATTCTATTCTATTCTATTCTATTCTAATAGCAAAAAGCTTTTTAACATTTGGCTGTTTGATGAGGAAACAAATGCATAAAGTGCGATCCACATGACACTAAGCTACTAATTTCACTTATTAAATAGAAGGAGCCATTGTTAATGTGATGTCGTGACACATCACTGTTTTCCAGCAATTGTCTTTTGCTCAGGCCCTTCACAGCACAGAGAAAATCCCATCTCATCAGTAAATCTAATACACGTCTGATAAACTCATTGGCACTCACCGAAGGGAAGCCTCAAGCAATAACTACAAGAACTCCTGCTGTGTACAAGCTCCTGCAGGTCAGTATATATATCTCCCACTCACCAGACACCTATTGGATGCAGCATCTGCTGCAGGTAACTCAAACATTACTGGATTCACTCAGCATTAGCATCTCCATTCATCGCCTGTCAAGTAAGGGAAATAAATTAGAATGACTTCAGTTGTTCACCTACACTAATTGGTTCTCAGAGAAAGACAGACGTAAATGGTTTAGTTAGTTTACCTGCTTCTATTTTTAGACGAAACACAGCTGTATAGCAGTGAGGTGAGTTTGCAAATACTGGAAAACAATCTTCATTTAATTGTAAT